TTTTACCCTCATAGATAAGTTACCTGTCATATAGAATCCAACCGAACTTAAAACATTTTCTGTTCCAGTACAAGCCAAAGTCCATTTCCCACGTTTGTTTGTTGTTACTGTTGCAGATTTTCATTAGTCTCATAGTTAGGAAGAATTTTGTTGTTTTTGTTTTCAAAATATATATATTCATGGATGCTGAAACCATTCGGATTTAGCGGCCACGCTCCTATTCACGTGACAGATTTCTATATATTCCACTCGCCTGAACCGCCGCGCGCTGACTGGTTCCGCCTCACCGCCCGGGTGGGTTTTATTGCTCAGCCCTGGGGACTTTTAAATGACCCTTCAGTAATTATTACGCACTAGAAGCCCCTACGTCCTGGTTCCGGTGCTATCAACGATCAAATCAAACCCCCAAATAAACATACGATTTCAAGCATTAATTAGAAAATCTGCATGTTTTCAATAAGGCTAGAAAGTAAGCACACAGCAGTCAACCAAACCAAAGAAGCGAAAAAGAAAAAGCTAGCTGAACTCTGGTGTTTGCTTTCAAATCGTTCCAGCAGGAAAATTGTTCCTGCGACATTAACAACTAGAACAACACGGCGTGGTGTTCGAATAAAATTCAAGTTCTGATACTTCCAATACTTTTTAAAATGGGTGATATTTCTTTGTTGAGTTTTGCAAGGACTTCAGAAAATATGAAATTTAAAGAATCGAGACGACGTTGAGGTCAAATCGGTGATTCTAACAAACGGACTTGGAGAGCAGGTTGGTCAGTCCACTTGAATTAAAGATCTGATGCCATAAACCTATGATCCTATACCCAGTGATTTTAATCTATGGGAAAGTTTGCCCCCCTCCTTCCCCTCCTCCCAACCTTGGTCCAAAAGTCCCTTCCAGCTCACTAACAGAGAAAGAAACGGCCCTTCTATTTCCTTGATTTCAGCAATCCTTTAAGGATAAAAGTGCTCTTTTCATGATTTCACTGGAAATAAAATACTCCGAAGACTTTTAATGCTTTTCTGCGTTTTAAACTGATTTATCTCCCCTTACCCACCCCTCAAAAAGCTGAAGTCGTCCTCGTTAACTTTACAAAAGCTGACAAGCTTACAAATAAAATGGAAACTTGAGCAAAACTTTTGCCACTTTTACTTTCTCCAGTTTTTTGTAAAAGACGCTCTTTTTTGTAAATGTCAAATAGGAAGGGACAGATAGGAAAGGAATATAACCCCCAAACCGACCTATGCTTGAGATCTCTTAGAGAAATCTTTTAAATTGTTGCAAACCTCCCACGCTCACTTGTGATTTTAAAAGGGAGGAAAGTCTTATGAGAGTGTATCGCCAGTCCCCAATCAAAACATCAATTTGGCAATCTGGCCTCTCCCCCGCTGCACTCCGGAGCTGCCACTTCAAAGCCGCTACAACAAGTCAGTAATTGTAACGTTGCATCTAAATATTTAAGCGAGAGTCTTGCAGTCGCGTGTCCATTTACAGTCCTCATCTGTCCTCTAATTCCATTACTGCACAAAGCAAAAATGTTTCCCAAAACTCAAAAACAGGAAGAGCGTCACCCTGCTGGAGAAGGGGGAGGAGGGGTGGAGGAGGAGTAGGAGATGATGAAGGGGCAGTTTCTATTGATTAGTCACCGCTTTTGTGTTAAGGGCTTTCTTTAAAATAAGAAAAAAAATGGGGGGAGGTTGCAGAAATTTCACAAATGTGAGCCTCAGGCAAGGGAGGAAAAAAAAAAGAGGAGAAGAAGGGGGAGGCGGGCTGTGTCTAGATGAAAGTGAGAAGGACATAAAGGAGGCAATTGAGTCGGCTGCAGACCGGCGAGCTAAGCTTCAAGCCGGCCAGAGCGTAGGGGAGGGGGCGGCGCGGCGCGGTGCTTTGGCGCAGAGCGCAGGAGTGGGGGCTCTGCCCATTGTGGCGGCGCCCGCGGGCCCGCTCGGCCGAGCCGGGGGAGGAACAGAGGCGCCCATTGAGCGGCCGCAGCGCGGGGCCGTGCCCACGGCCCCGGATGCCATGGCCAGGACTTGGCTCCCCCGGCTGCCTCTGCTCCACTCTCAGCGCGGGCCAGGGGCTAGGGGGATTGGGGCTAGCGGGGCTGGGGTAGTGTTCGTGAGCCGCCCAGCGCTCTCCTTTCTTTTGGCCTACGGAGCTGGAAGGCTGGATCCTGCAAGGGGGCGTCCTGCTTAGTGCGTGCCCGCTAGGGAGCGCGGGCCTGAGCGCACCAGCTCTGCCAACGGCTCAGCTCTTGGATTGAGCGAAGGAAAAGGGAAAGTTGAGAAAGTTAAGGGGACTATCTCGGAGAAAGACACTGTAGAGAGAATGAGGGTGATTCTGACCCCATTCAAGGTGCCTCAGTCCTATTGTCCTAGTGTCTGACAAGCAGACCTCAGGCCAAAGCTGTCCCCTGAAAAGCTAGGCTCGGCAGCAGCCACCAGACTCTCCAACTGGAAACCGGCAAGAATACACCCCACCGGTCAGGGGACCCCAAAGTCCCTCCTCCCTCGGCTTTCTCTTCCCCCTCTGCTAGGGCACTGAGAGTACTTTATCAACGTTCATTCTGTTTTACAAGTGGGCAGCCTGGGATTTTTGATGCCCGAACAACAGAGGGGAGTTTTTGAAGTTTCTGCACTTCAAACTGCACCGCGCTCTATCCTTTCTCTGGGCCCCTCTTGCCCTCCAGGGCTCAGCTGAAAAGGAGCTAGAGGTGCTGAAGAGACTGACGCTGCATCTTCCTTGACAACCCCAAATTAAATTAGGCTTCAGATCCAAGGGGTGTGGGTCTGCGTGTGCGTGTGCGTGTGTGTGCGCGTGTGCGTGTGTGTGTGTGCGTTTGTTTCCAACAGCACAGCCCCTACTGGGGAGAATACTCTGATTTTAAAATGGTAGCAATTGCCCTTGAATGGCAGCCGGCCCAGCTAGACAGCCCAAAAGACTAGAAACATTTTGTAGGTGAAATGGCCACTTTTTCCACGCTGGAGAGTCCATAAAACTTCCTGGCGCAGCAGCTATTGGGGCTCATTGAATAATTCATCCCTCATTGCAAGCCCATAATGTCTATTCTCAGCCTTTTGTGGTGCTGTTTTCTCTTCTTTTCTCCTTGAATTATAAAAAGGTTGCCTTCCTTTGTTCACATCAAGCTGCTCCGAGCTACAGCTTTGTCTGGGCTGAGCTAAAGTGTGAGTTTCAATGGACTCTCCAGGCTTTGTCTCCCAAGTTCATCTCCAAGTGTAGATTGTGTAGAGAAGGCCTTCTTTGTAAAAGCTGGAAAAGTTGTACAAATGTTTGACCAGCTCATTTGGGACGTTTTGTCTCCTGGGCCTCAGTCGCCTGTACTGCCAGAGAGCAGCCGTTCTGCCTTGCCGGTGCCTTCAGCAACAAGTAGCAAAGCCATGGGCTCCCAGCCTCTCTGACCGCTCTGGGCTCTTCTCCCCGTGCCCACAGGAGCACATTTGATTTGGGGTTGTCTGACTCCCTGCCTTCGTCCTTTCTCAGCACCTCTATGCTACAGCTAGGCCTGGGATAAAAGCCAAGGTGTCTTCTCAGAGACCAAGGCAGAAATATGTACCTCTCCAAAAAGAGGATTTAGGCTGAGTCCATAGGAGGTCCCTGTTGTAAAGCAAAGGAAGCATCTCCCTGCCCAACCTGCTGTGGTTTGCCGTCTTTTCTTGATTTCTTGTGCACACCAGGGTATCTACACTTGTTTTCCCTTCAAATCAGCCATTTGGATCTGTAACTTCCAAATCTAAATGTTCCTTCCAGGTTGTGTACAGATTTTGCCTTGGTTTGTAAAGCAGCTGTTCAGGAGAGCCAGGGGCTGCCAGAATTGGGCAATGAAGATAAAAGAAGTCCCACGTGGGTGCCGCTCTGGTAAGAGCTTGGACCCAGCTAATCGCAGTAGGCGACGGCTCTGAGCCCACCTGGAAAGCTGCCTGTTCCTCTGGCAACTCCAAAACTAACTGCCCCATGAAGTCCAAGTCCCAGGTGAGGAAACTTCAGGCACAGTGGGGCTTCTGGCCACTCTTGACCATTTGTGCATTTGAAAAGGGGCAACGACCTTCAAGGCCAAAGCCCCTGAGACACAATCCCCGACTCCCGCTGCAATGATCCCTTCCTGGGTTCAACTCTAATGGCGTTTTTATTTCCTTCTTTTTGTGTGTGTACCCTTCAAGTTTGAAGATGACTTGCTGCAGGTGAAGGAGAAGCAAGCTACACTTCTGTCTCCCATGGGGGAGGCTTTTTCTTAGTGCTGACAGTGCACAGCCAAGAAGGAATGGGGATCGGTACTCCTAGAAGACAGAGGGTGCCAGTACTCTGTCGAAGAACCCAGATCCCTTCCATTTGTAACCCAGAGCTTGAGTTCCTTTCAATTCCCAGACACACATAGGTTAAACTTCATCACATTTGAAAACCAATTTTAAACAAATCAAACCAGTCAACATAACACACATTTATAAAGCAGCCGATGTGGGGGCAACTTTTGGAGAGTCATTGACTTTCTTTCTCTCTCTCTCTCTCTCTCTCTCTCTCTCTCTCTCTCTCTCCCCCCCCCCCCTTTAATGCGGGGAAAGTCCGGAGACCAGGGCCTTTCCTGAGAGCATAAAAGCTACTGCAACTTCTGAAGATTCAAGCCCCCTGTATCCCCGGCCCTCCAATTGCTCAGAGATGCCCAGTCTCATACATTTAATGGCAAGAGGGTTAACAGCTTCCCCTGCCCCGCACAACAGAGCACAATTCACAGTTCTAGAATCCCAGGGACTGAAAGTGGGAAGAAAGAAAGATTTTTTAAAACAGAAAAACCAAGCAGAATAGAGATGTTTGTTTTAATTCCTCGTGTCTCTCTGGTCTTTCACTCCCATGCCCTTACCCAGGTACAGAGACAATCAACAAGAAGGAACCTCGATCCGAGCCGGGTTGGCTGCCATCAGGTCCTCAATGCCAGGGCGCCAATGCCCACCAAGGCCCCGAGCGGGCGCGTGGCCCAAGGCGCTACCGCTTACCTCGCTCGCTCAGGATGCCGTCGATGCTGTGTTTGGCCTTCTTCTCACTTTCCTCTGCCTCTTTCCTCTCCAAGTCGGCCTCCTCCTCTTCACCTTTCCCGAATTTACTCCTCAGGATGCGGCTAATGGAACTCACTGGGGGCGGGAGGAGGAAGGAAGCAAGGGAGTGAACCGGGTTGAGACCAGCCGGGCTGTGCGAGGAGGAGCCCCCAACCCCCAGCCAGGGCCCTGGAGCCGCTGCCCTGCACTGTTCGCGAGTATCCTCCGGCGTCCCTGGGCATCCACATCTTTCTCCAGCCCTCTCATCCTGCCGCTCAACCCCCTCTCCCTAAAATCTGTAAGCTGGGACTCAAAGACGGAGCCTGCGAAGTCCGTGCTTCAAGTTGAGGCCGGGTGCCATCTCTGTCCCTCGATTCTGGGCAGGAAGCATTTCCCTTCTTGGATTCCAAAGACCAGGCTCTAGGTCTCCAATCTAAGAGAATTCTTGCACCAGCCCACAGGGTACCCTCCTTCCTCCCCACCTGAATGCAGGGATCCTGCGGTTCGCCTTAAGGGAGGAAGAGCCAAAGCCGACCTGTCCCCCACTGTAAGTCGAGTTACTTTTTTCCTTTTTTTTTTTCTCTCCTTTTAAAAAAAGTTATAAAGGGTTTAAATTTCAACTGCAGAATCGTTTCCTATTGTAAAAATAAAAAGAAAATGCACTCTCTCCCATTTATTTTTTCCAGATTCCAGTCTGGTAAACAAATCCATGCTCTGAAATGTATGTTTCTCGCAGAGGGAAAAAGGGAGTTTCCTTTTAATTAAAAACAAACCCTCCCTTGCGCCCTAGCGCTGGCCCCATGCTCGCCCCTCTTCTCCCTCCGCCTCTCCCCGGCTGCTGGGGGCTCCGGACGGTTCCTGAGACTCTCGGGGGAAATCTGGGCCTTTATCGAAGCATCCCCGGCTTGGAGCACACTGCAAAGTCCCTCCCGGCACGGCTCCATCTCCCTTCGGTTGGGGTTACCAAAACATTTGTTTCTCTTTAAAAGGGAACATCAATATTAATAAACGCTCTGCCTCTGCCTCACGTTTCCTGCCCTGCCTCCTCGACAGAAATCTTCTTTGGGGAGTCCTCAGAGATAGTCTCGCCACCTTCCGCCCCCAAGACAAGCAGCTCACCCCTCCCTGCATAAAGTGCCAACAACGCCTCAATGGTAAATATTTCAGGGCCTCGGGAGAGGCCACCTCCCAATAGCGGAGATCGATAATTGGGGTGATTACGTCTTGGTCGATCTGCCTGGATAGCAGCTACTGACGACCGCGCCTCCGGGAGACGTTAATGGGCCTAGTACCTGAGGGCACCGTGTTTCGATCACAGACCGCGTCCTTGAGTAATTTGTCTCGGATTTCCCAGCTGAACATGCCCGGGTTCTCTCTTTTATATTCCTCAATTTTCTTCTCCACGTCAGGCGTTGTCACCTGCTTTAAGAGAACAGGCGGGCAGGGCTTGGTACCCGGTACCCTGGGCCAGGTGGCGGTGGCCCGCCGCCTCTGGGCCTGTCGGGCTGCTCCTCCCTGAATCCTCTGGAAAGGTCCCCCTTTGTTAGTAAAAAGACCCCAACTCTCAGTGGCACTTTAGAAAGGGGCTGACAAGAACACATCCTACCCCTGAGCAGCCTGGGGAGCCTCTACCTCCCCCCTTCCCAGATAAGCCACAGACATCCGGGATAAATTCAGAAGAATTATAACATCTTGATGGGAGGGGGGTACTTTCTCATCCCTAGAAATAAGGCAACTGCTTACGCAGAACCAACATGAAAACGAAACTAAAAACACAATGTTTGAAAAAGGAGCTGAGAAATCAAGTTAGATCTGTAGCTTGTGCAGCCCCTGCTTTTCCAAAAAGATAGTTATGCTAAAGTGAAGACTGACATACAAAGGTGAGTATTTCTGTTTTTAAAAATTAGAGTGGATAACAAATATAAGTAATTTGAGAGACTGACTTTTCGCTCCACCCCAAAATATATTTTAAAGAAGAAGAAGGAGGAGGAGGAGGTTTCAAAGATTCTTAGAAAGGCTGTCAAGGGGTTTGAGTAGGTGGGAAGGAAGAGGAGGGTGTTTGGAGGTCTTCAGTTTACCATAACTCTCTTGATTTTGCCCTGTGGCAACTAGAAGAAAAGACAGACCTTGTGCAATTCCCTCCCACTCAGCCCTAGCTGGTGTGACTCTTTGTAAAAAGGGAACCAAAATAATTTGAGGATAGCACCAAACTGCTCTTTTTTTTTTTTTTTTTTAAATGGAGGCATTGGCTTATTACAAAGAAAACTAATCATACTTTTTGACTCATTGAAAACAATTTGCACGGGGGGAGATGAAAGGCGGGGTTTGGGAGATAAACCATTACAAAACCTAAAGAGGTTCTTCACATTCGTTTTGGAAAGGGCAGTGCCATAGGTGGGAACTGGGAAGACACTTGGGGTAGAAATCGGCAACAGGTGAGCACATACCGCTTGCCTGCTTTAGATGTTTGTCCAATCAAATAATTTGATGAGGATTCCAGGATTTATGGGCTTTAAACAACAAATGTTATTTTTCCCTCGCAAAAAAGGTGAGAGCTTTCCCTAAGTGTTCATCAAGAAGTGTCCAGGGCGCGCGCGTGCACACACACACACACACACACACCTTTACACACTTTCGCAAACTTCAAAAATAACTCATTGGAGAGCCCCAGATGTCAGCCCCTGCCCCCTGCCCGCTCTTCTCCGACTCAGGGGACCACAGTCTGGGAGCCAGGAGGGCAAGGCTCGCCCGCTCACCTTGGGCTTGCTGCCGCCGATGGCACCGGGACGGATAGAGCCGGTCTCCTGGTACCTGCACAGGATCTTGGAGACGCAGCCGTGGGACACGCGCAGCTGGCGCGAGATGACGCAGGGCCGGATGCCGTGGTGGGCCATCTCCACGATCTTGTGGCGGATGTGGTTGGGCAGCGGCCTGCCGTTGATAAAAACGCCGCCGAGCTGGTTGACGCGGCCCTGGCCGAGGGGAGTGGACACTGTGGGGAGAAGGTGAAGAACAGAGGCAAGAGGAGAGTCACTGAGGGGGAACAGAAAGCACAGACGCTGAAACTGCTCCTTATCGGACTCTCAGACCCGTACCTTCTTTCCATCACATTTGTTCAAACTACTCACCCGTGTAGGGGCTTGTAATCTTCTGTAAAGACAGCAAGTGGGGCAAAATAATTCTCCCCAAAGAAAGCATCTTCCCCTTCGGGCCCAGGAGGAGTGGCAACTTACAAGGAGACCCTGCGGCTCGTAGAGAGTCTAGCTTCCTCTAGAAACAGCCTCCTGGCAAAGAGAAGTTCACCCAGGAGCTGGCCTTGATGAACTCCGCTCCCACCGAATCCTGTCCAATTGGGATCGCTCCCTTTCTAAGGGACTTGGGCGAGCTGACAGCCCTTGAGGTTTCTAGCTAAAAGTGCAGCAGCCAAAGGTCAAAGAGGGTCCAGAAAGGAGGCCCAAGCAGCAGTGCCTGTGTCACCTGTTACATCTTGGGACAGAGACCACAGCAGCGGCCCCTCTGGCTCCCATTCTTGCTCTGGGTGTTACCTTGTACTCTGGGCTGTGTGTGAAGGGGTGGAAGGGGAATGAGCCTCTCTGCTGGGGCCCCCTAGCCTGGAAAACCATTTGAAAGGACTCAGGCTTGCAAAGCTTCCTGCCTCCCCGCGATTTCCAGAATCTTCAAGTGGACTGAAAGGCGGTTCCCAAGTTTCTAAACAAGTTATAGAAACTTCTAGATGCCATTTGAGATAAATAGAACTCTTATTTATTTATTCTAAAAATTCCAATCACAATGGCGCGGAGTTTGCCACCACAATTTTGCAGTTCAAGAAAATTCTTCCTGAACTAACATGTTTCACAAGTGTGGGAGCAGCCGGGATAATTTCGAGACAATTTCGAGTGTACACATTGCCGAGAAGTTGCTTCTGGGGCTCAGATGCCGGTTCACCACCTCCTTCTCCACCGTGGCATTTCCAAAACAACAGGGGCAAAGTCGCCCCGGCCCAGTGCAGGCCCGGCCGCCCAGCTCCACCAGGATTTACAGAGAGCACAGCGCTCCATTTGCAGAAAGGAAGTCGAGTGGGTCCTCGCCACCGACTGTTGCTTCTTGGGGGGTGGGGTCTCCTGGGAAATGGGCTTCCTGGAAGCGCCAAAGGAGCCTGTGGAGCCTGGGGATGGGATGAGGCAGCCGGTCCCAGGCCCTGGGATCCAGGCGGCGCCCTGAGTCCCTGCCTTACCTTCCAGCGGGAACCCGCTGCGTGGGTAGTTCTGCCCCGGGCCCGGCCGCGTCATTCTGGGCACAGCGCCGGCCAGCGTGGTCATCCTGGGGGCAGCTTCGCTTGGAAATTATATCCAGGTGAAGGCGAAATGGAAAGGCGAGTGCGGCGCGGGTGACCCTCGGGAACTATCCGGAGCGTGGAAAGTCCCTCCCCAAAACGGCTGAAGAGAGCGGGAAGGACGCGGAGAGGAGGGCTGCCGGTTCCTAGTCCAGAGGCTGGAGCTGGAACCAGGGAAAGGGGCGGGCGGGGAGGCCCCGGAGTCCAGGATCCCGAGCCCAGGGCGGAAAAGTTTGGTGCGAGTCTGAGCGAATGTTCCCGCGGCTGAGAGCGCTGAAAACAGGGCTCAGAGAGCTACGGCCAGCCGGGGAGCAGAGTGAGGCGGGAGCGCGGCCTGCCTGCGTCTCCTCCTGTCGTGACAACGAGTGCGGGGATCCGGGCTCGGGAGCATTTATTAGTTCTTTTCCCCAAAGCTTGGTCAGGAGCCCTGAGCTGCGATTGGCCGACGAGGAGACCGTCCCGGGTGGCGGAGACACGCGCTGATTGGGCGACAGCGGCCACTTTCTCTTCCCATCTCTGGTGGTGCCGAGGCCTCTGCCGGCCCCGGGCCCCGAGGGGGACCCGAGCTGCGCCCGTAGCCCAGGAGAGAAGGGTGGTCCCAGAGGAAACTGAGAGAGACAGCCCCAGGGAGGTGGCAGCTGCTGTGGGTGGGGAAGAGTCTCTGTCTCTCCGTCTCTGTCTGTCCCTCTCTGTGTGTGTCTCTCTCTCTGGTCTCTCTTTCCTTGACTTTCTATTTCTCTGTCTGTCTCTGTCTCTTTCTGTGTCTCTCTGTGTGTGTCTTGCTCTGCCTCTGCCTCTATTCCTCTTGTGATTTCCTGTGTCTCTCTCTATGTCTCATTATTTTTCTACCTGTGGGTCTCTCTCATTTCTCTTGGCTTACAGCCACTGGAGGGGGCACAATTCCAATAAGAACGCATCTGGAGCCCCAGACATATTTTACTTTGCTTCCTGTGGTCAGTGCCCCTTGGCTTAGGCTTGTTAAGGGGTCCTCCCTATGGGGTTCCTCCTAGGAGGAGTCCAGAGTGTGCTGACGTTCTTTTGTCTTCTCCATCTTCAAGCGGGCCTAGTGTGAAGCACAGGCCGCGGTTGCTAGGCCGGAGCAGTCGTTAGTTGAAGGCCGGGGGGCATGGTGGGGGAGGGTGCAGAAAAAAATCAGGCTCCTCTTCTTGATTTAAAAACCTCTCTGGCAAGCTACGGCTCTAAATCTCCACCTATAGATCCCCGATACGTCGACAGAGACGTGTCTATATGTTAGAGTTTTGCCCGAGTGCTACGTTTGTTCTCAGGAATTTATTATGGCATTCAGACTAAACCGCTGGAAAAATAAAAGGAATGAAGTCTTGGCTAGGAGCTGAAGTGTCCCCAGCAGGATATGACGCCAGGAGTGTTGTAAAGACTGTCTGTCCTTAGAGAAGGTACCATTGTGCATAGCCTTTTATTTATAACTTGGTAAGTGCCAGCGAACTCGCCTCCTTTACACCCCCGAGTGCCAGCCCCGCGCTCTGCACTGCGCTTTATTCGCTCGAGTCTATTCAGAGACTGTCACTCTGGGGCCGCGAGTTATTCAGGGCCTTAATCAATCAAAAGGATGAGAATCGGGCAGGTTTTTCCCTTTGAAATAAAGGAAACAATGACTTCTGGGCTTCAAGTTCCCCCTTTTCCTTTTACGATTTTTGAATTTTTCCTGTGCCTGGAGTTCCCCACTCCTCTCTGTCCTCCTCCCCCACCTCCTTTGACAGTTTTGACGTGAACTCGGGGGCCCCCAACCCTACTTCCCCATTCCCTAATTAAGGCAAACTCAAAAGGCAAGATGGGAGGGTGGGGTATAGCTGCTCAGCAGTCCGCAAGTTGGCCCTTTAAAAACCCACGCACCAATGGGGAAAACAGACAAGCTTTCAGCCTGCCTGATGCCAAAGGGCTTGGTTGACCCTCAGAGCCACAGAGACAAGTCTCAGGAGACTCCCAAAAACGTCTGGACCCATGAGGAAAGCATGTGCCTTGTTTAACCCGATTTTACATAAAATAATTCAACATTTTCAAGGGGAAAATTTTCTGATTTTTTTAAGGACTTGGGGCCACCGAAGCCTGTGTACTTAAACTTTTTAAGCCACAGTATCAGGGATAGTATTTTGAGAGCCAGTTTTTCCAAGTTTTCTTCCCAAAGGTTGAGCAGAGCCAGCAGAGCACTTTCTGGGTTCAGTGGTAATTGTTGGGTGAAGGAGGTACCTGAAGTGTAATTTCAAGAGGGCAAATGTAGGCTCAACTCTCAGCTAAAGGAAACTCTGGGACCCCTTGAGCAGTTAAAGGACGTCTAGCGCTGAGTCTCATTTGTTTTTGAGCCGGAAGCTTGCTCTCCAAGCCCTCCCAGCGTCCACCCGTCGCTCTCCTGCCGGGGTTTTTCTCTCCTGAGAGCCGGCAGATGCTGGAGGGAGGCGCTTGCTACAAGCTTCCTTCTCCCGGTCCCGTAGACTGCAGAGCCCGCGGGACCGCTGAACCGAGGTACTGCCGGCCGAGCTGGGTCTTAAGTGCCCGTGGGCGCTGGTCTATAAACTAGCCATCACTTGCTATAAAATGTATACACGGAGGCCACGAAGACGTGGGGGAACTGGGGTTCCAAAGCTCCAGGATCGGGAGGCGACGCATTTTCTCTCCTTTCCGGCCTCTTTCTCTTCTGCCGAGCGCTCCGAGGTTCATATATACCCAGAGGATCAGCTCGGCCCTTCTCCACCCGGGCAGCAGCCAAAGGTCCCCAGAGACCCAGACAGGGCTGGATGCGTACCGTCAGGCTCTGGACAGCTGAGCCACATTCAAAGACTTAGGGAGTCTAAATTTCTTGTGGCCTGTGTCCCCGAAGTCCGACCTGGGATGGCCAGGACAGCAATGTTGGCTGAGGCTGCCCAGCCCATCGCGTCCACACGCCGCCAAACCTAATCCTGCTCAGAGCCCGGAACTCCGCAGAACCCGGCGCAACAGGTCGCAGGAGTGCTACCTATCCGGAGCCGGTGGACCAAGGAGTCCTGGTGCTAAATTTGGCCGTGGTACAGGCGCTAATTGGCAAAAGAATGACCCAGCGGTGGGGCTTGGAAGGCGATGGCCTGCGCCCCGCAACCTTGAAAACAGGTTTGGGAGGCAGTGGCGTTTCCCCGGGCTAACAAATTACCCAGAAAGCATCCGGGGGACTCTCCACCACCGTGTCGTGAACGAGGGTAGCGTCCACTCGCGCTCTGTGCACGTTCTAAATGAAACTGGAGCCTTGACGATATTTGGATAATTTGACCAAAAAAAAAAAAAAAAAAAAGTGGGCGGGGTAATAACTTGTGTTGCCTCCTCTGCTCCTCTCCCTCCAGTTTCAGAGACACTGCAGGTGAAATTAACAGCGGGCTGGCTGTCCAAACCTGGATCAAGCATGCCCTTGTTGGCTTGAAGGCTCTCCCTCACAGCCCGTTTGGATGCGTGGGTCTACACCGCAGTTGCGCTTGGGTGACTTCGGCCTGGGCTTCGAAACACCCTTCAGTGCACAGCCCCCGCACTTGGGGACCCTGGCACAAGGGTTTCATGGCCCATGCATTTCTCCGGGCCTCTGAGGGATGACTTCATATTCAGCCAGACACTGGTCTTAAGAGGAAATTATGATGTATGCAAAATAATGCCCCTGACCTAGTAGGGAGCGGGGGTGGCGTCTGCCACCCAGGCCTTTTTCGTCCTGTCTGAAAGGCCTCGCTCTGGCATGCTGACAACGTTGAGCAGAGAAGCTCCTGGTCACTCGCCCAGCCCCAGGCATGACTCTCAGGATGCAGCAGAAGTTAGATAAACGCCGAGAAACCTTCAATCCCATAGAGAGGCTGCCGGGCGTTCGCGGAGAGGACATGAAAATGCCAGGTTCCTGATCATGAGCTTCCGGTCCGGATGTGATGATACGGGATTGGTGAAGGCCCGGGTTAAACCCGTGGTCTTTAGCAGCCGCTGCCTCAGTGACTGTCATTAGGCCCCCCGCAGTCATTTGTCAAAAGCATTGGCGCCGCTCTTCTCCCCTTCGAAAAATCAGTCGGGATGAGTTTGGATTAAGGGACTGGATGAGGTTGTGGACATCGCATTGAAACGTGGTGTAGGCCAGCCGAAGTGTGTTTGCTCCTGCAGCTGGGGGAGCCCCAGGGAACGTGTGAGCGGCATTACAATAAAGAACATACGGTTTGTGGGAAGAAAGGAAGGAAAAAGGAAAATAGGAAAGGAAAAAGAAAAGACGGGAAGAAGAGATTTTTTTTTTTTTTTTTGGAAGTCAGTGAGAAAGGAAGAGAATAAATCTCACAGCAACTGTTTTCCTAGTTCATTTGGATCTGAGGAAATTATTTTTATGCAAACAAGGAAGACAAGATTCCAGAGCCTTGTGGGGGGGGGGGGGGGAGAGAAGCAGGGGAAGGTGTCTTGTAAAAAATTAGAATAAGTTCCGTTTAATCCTCCAAAAAATGTTCTGCGCAATTAGGTAAAAGTTCATGGTATAGTGGGAGTGATGTTTAGAAGAGGAATTCGGTAACTGCTCTTCTGATGTGTGTATTCGGGGCGTGTGTGTATTTGTGGCGTGTGTATGTGTGTGTGTGGAAGAACCTGGTGTGTGTGGAAAGGGTAAGGATTGAAGGGCCTTACTTAGCTGGGGGACCGTCTGGTATTGGGGGCCGGCAGCCTGGGCCTAGGAAAGGCCAGGAAAGTCCAGGAAAGCCTGATCTGTGCGGAGGCAGCGAAGGCTGAGAGTGAGGTGGGGGCGGGAGCAGAATTGGCCGAAGTGAATAAAAGAAAACTTGGGATCCGTGTGACGCCTGGAGCAAAAAAGTAGGTAAGTGGTCACTCCAGGAACTTCTTCCCTCGGGTGCCTGGACACAAAGAGCCGGGGCTGTGTGTACTGCTCTAGGAGGAGGGGGGTATTGGGTGGGGGGAACCTCGATCAAGACAGGCCTCCTGCCGACTCTGCGCAGCCCCAGCGCCTGAACCCGCGCAGTGAGCCGCAGCCGCTTCAACCCAACAGAAAATTTTTCCTCGAGGTGGATATCAGCGGCAGAGAAGAGGGGCGAGTGACCCGAGGAGCAAGAGCAGGGAAACATGGGAGACGAATGTTCAAACCGAAGCCTGGACGCACGCCTCAGGGGGGTCAGGAGAGCCCGAGGCAACAGTCTGCGAATGAGGCCAGCACCCGCGTCCCTCGGGTTTTAAAAGCACACATGGGGCCAGAGACTGCACAGCCAACTAAACGGAGTAAACGCAACAGGTGGAGGAGGCCGAGAGAAGCCCGGAGCGATCTGGCCAGAGTCTGAGGGAGCGCGCGGACCTGGGACTGCAAAGAGACGCTTTGAAGCGTGCTGCGCGCACCTGCTTCTCCGAGGCATCCGACTCCACCCGAGCATCTCCGGAGAGAGCACAGTCCACAGATGCAGGCAGGACTGCCCCGTAAGACACGTCCTCTTCCGACCCCTCACTCTCAAAGTTGCGGAAGAGGCGGAGAGGATGAAAAAGAAGAGAGAAAGAAGAGAAAAAAATTTTAAAAAATAATAAAGGGAGGGAAGAATGAAAGGGAGGCGTGGGGGAGGGAGGGAGGAGGGGAGAAACTCTCATCAGCACAGCCAAAGCAGGACGCCTCAGCTTCTTGAATTTCTAGACACGACTTGCATTAAATTCCTTTCTAGACCTTAAACTTTTTCTTCAGCTCCCATCATCCAAGAAAACACCCATTTCCTGTTTTAAATAACATTTCTCTTTCTGGAGAGGAACCTTTAAACAAGTCGTAGGTCTGGGGGCGAGGGACTGGAGAATAATTTTGATGCAGAACCTTGAGATTCAGAACCACGTGGAAAAATTCTAAAAAGATGAAAACTGACCATCTCCAACACAGAAACCAATCGAAAGGAGCCGGCTAGACGTGTTGATCAGCTGGAGGGAACACGCGGCAGAAGTGCAGACCCCTCGCTAACCAGCCGCCCTCCCGGAGCCCTCATGCAGAAAGCTGGCCGGCTCCCCGCGGTGGCCCTGCGCTCACAACATCCTCTCGGTCTGGCTTCTTCACCCCAGAAAACTCTGTGAGGGGCACCCTAGCCCCAGCTGGGCCAAGAGTTAAGACGAGTAGCCCCAAGAGGAAGGAGCTTCAGAGAGCCTTTCTTCCTGTTCTTCTTCGTCTTCTTTTTTTCTAAACGAAATCTAATACTATCTGGCTGCAAAAATATATTATCACCGGCTCTGAGCCTAAGAGATTAACATTTGGATATGTAGGAAACGTAATCTGCATGGCTAATTGATTCTCAGCGTATCAGTTTAAAGGATAAAGATCGATATCTACATGATGGATATTGTATTAATAGGGGCATAAATAAAGGCCGAAAAGTCGTTACCGAAACCTTTGAAGCCGCTTTTCGGCTCTACAGCCCTCCACGCGGCCGCTGGGTCTTTCCCACCTCCCCGCCCCCAGCTCCTGCTGGGTAGGGAGCGCTTGCTTCCCCCTCCAACTCGATACTAGGGTGGAGAAGTCTAGGGTTAAAGCGAAAGTGTTTCACTGCGGCAACGCTAGAGAGAGGTGGCTCTTTTTTCTTGGGCTGCAGCAGGTGGACAGTAAGGCCAGAGAGAAGGTAGTATTTTAGCAAAACGCACCACTCTCAGATGTTTAGAAACACAGATACATGCGACCCACATAAGAACACAAGCAGCCACACACACACACACACACACATACACACACACGCACACAATCACGCAAGGTGGGAAGGGTTCTCCCTGAACACCCTTTGGCCTTAGAGACAAGGAGTTAATGCTTCTTTCCATCCTTCGGGCTTCCTCCCCCAGGGCAGGGACGGAAGCCCTGGCCGAGCCCCAAGATTGGTGATCTAGGTTCCTGGAGGTGCCCTCTCGGTGGGGTAAGGACCGGGAAGAATCAGGAAGTTCTGTGGGAAGCGTGAGGGGGCTGGGGAGCAGGGGTGCCCACCAATGTCCATAGAAAGCAAGGAGGCCCACTCGAGGAGGGGTGGATGCAGCAGTGTTGAATGAGGGCCTGAGCCACTGGGGCGAGGGGAACAGGATGGGGTACACTCGATCCGGAACAAGAAACCCTCGGCCGGGCAGTTGCCAATTAGTCCCGGGTCCCAGCGACCGCTTCACTGCGGAGCCGGAGCCACCCAGGGAATTTTCCAAATGCAAATCAAACACCCTTGGCGCCCTCCTTCTTCACTAATTAAGAGGAACGTTTCGACAAAACCGAAGTAATCTTTATTAATTACGGAGCCCTCCGCGCACCGTTCGCATCAATCACGCCCAAATCGAAAGTGCAGGGGGCGTCTAATCCCTTCCCAGAGCGTGTTTGGAAAAGGAGCCGCGTGGGCGACGTTTCTACCGTGACTCCCACCTTTCTGCGCTCTCCTTGCGCCGGCTGCTTTCCCGGCGCGCAGGGAGGCCTTTCCCTGAAACCCGGTCTGGCTGCGCGCTGGCAGGACTGCTCTAGATCCCTGGACAGGCCGGGAAATGCCCACTACTCACCACTTGGGCACGCGCTTGTACTAAGAAACTCGTACTGGGACTCTCGCGGACACTGCGTGGCCCATTTCTTCCTTCCCCCCAGGCTCAGTGGGGACCTCGCAGTTCTCCGTCCACCTCTTCTCTAGGACGCTCTAAAGAGGAGCCTAGGGCGAAGTGACAAGGATAGGCAAAACAAAAACAAAAAAAAAAACAAAAAACCACCAACAGTCCGGTAGCCCCAGGACGCCCCGAAAACTGTTCTGGGGGATGGGTCGGGAAAGACCTTGGAAGTAGTCTGAGAATACCAGTTCCTCCCAGGTGACCGGGTTGCCTCGGACCAGCACGACGTTCAGTAATGAGTGTTGGGAACAGAGAGGGGGTCTTTCAGTTACTGGCGTAGAGAACCGGGAAAGCCCGCAGCCTTCTGGTTGTGAGTGTGAAAGCTGGCTGGAGATTGGGGGTAGGGGAGGTGTGTGCAAATTCAGGTTATCTCCCCGCAGCCCAGCTGAAAGCAGGGACCCTGAGCTTTTATGAGAGAACGCTTTGGGGAGGGGTGTCCCGTGCGACCACCTCTCTCAGCAAAGCAGGGTTTGGCCTCTTGGCCTGACCTTGCTCCCTAGTCCCACCCTATACTAATAGGTCCTAACCTTTCTGCACTTTGGGCCTGGACCATTGCCCCTTCAAGAGATTCCGCTGGATAAAGAAAAATTATAAAAGCTGAATCACGCTTGGCGTCGGAGATCTGGCCCTCAGCCTGTCCCCACCCTAAAGAACTGGCCTGCCCACGCTCGCGTCCTCGGGCGCCCTCGCTGGGAAGCAGAATGTCGCTCCGCACACTGAGCCTTTCTTCGAGCGCTCTGCCAGGAGCTGCCGAGCCCCGGCACGCAGCCTCGGGCACCTGGTGGCCTGCGAAGAAACCTGCCCCATTGCGCTGCTCGGGCCGCACTAGCGGAGACGAGAGTGCGTGTGGCAGTGGCCCGCGAGTACCACCCGCTAGGATTTAGCAGCGCCTGGAACACTGCCCTCTTCCCAACCGTTTCCTTCTTGCCGGAGCTGGGCACACTCTGGTGTCTGGCATTCTCACATTCAATCATTCATTTCCCTCTGAAAGTTCTCATGAAGTTCTCAGACTCCTTTCCTCATGGGTCATCTCCTGGACCTGAGGCGCCTGCGAACCTCGCGGGTCACCAGATCATTTTACGGTCTCCCTCTTCCCCCACCGAATCATCGGCCGGGCCAGTCTTCCGGCTACGACCGGAGTCATCGCACTCTGACTCACGTGGCCTTTCATTTATTCCACATATGCTCATTGAGCTTCTACTACGTGCCCTTTCGAGTGCTGGCGCTACAGCAACGAAACAGACCAAGGGAAACAGATCGAAGTCCTTGCCCTGGCAGAGCTGATGGTCCAGAAAATAGCGAAAAATAGTATATAAATGCACCCTGCCAGGAGATTGGTTTTAAAACTGAGGCTCAGCTCTGGAGAAGCTTGAAGGACTAAGGGTGGGGTAGTGAGGGGGTGGGGGTCGGAAAGGCTGGGTTGCAGCAGGAGAGGTCTGGGCCGGCTCTACTGAGCTGTAGCTTCTTGCAGAGAGGAGGGGAGGAAGGGGTGTTGGCTAAAGGAAGGGCAAGGACAAAGAAAGAAAGTGATGAAAGCATGTGGTCCACAGCACTTTAGTGAATGCCTACTGTGCTGCGGCAGTCTAAGGTTCTGGAAAACTCCTGGCAGGGTCTGGGCAGTCAAACCTGCAGACATGCTTCCCTCCAAAAAGGTAGCGCTTGCCTCCTCTGGGGGCCCAGCATCTCCCTAGATGTTTGCCATTGTCTTCTTTGGGAGGATACTTCAAAATGGCTGTGGGAGGGGTAACGGGAAGACCGAAACTTCTGATGGACAGGCTGAGGCTCCCTGGAGCTCTGTCCCTCTCACCACCTCCAGAAGGAAGGTAGATGGCACCGTTGACATGCCAGAGTTATGGGACTCCTCCCTTCCAGTGATCCCGGCACCCAAATCCGGGACGGACCTGGGCCTCCTCATCTAGCCACCATCGACTGAAAATTGCGTTTTTATTTGGTAGAAAATGACAGCTCACCGTCTCGGTGTCCAGATCCCTGCTCTATGGGACATGTCACTCTCATTTTCCATACAAGAGGAAACTCCCTCCAAGGCAGGGGAGATGTGTGGAAAGCTAGGAGTGCCCTGCTCCAAAAGGTGGGGGCAAGTCTGTGTGTTCTGCCTGGCTGATTCGGAGGAGCTGCCAGACCACTTTGGCAGTGGGAGGGGAGTGGAAGACTCCTCTTTCCAGAGAATCCGGAGGAGCTCAAAACCCTAAAGAATCAGTCATTATTCCTTGGCTGATAGTTTTGTGAGATAAATGGAAAATAAACCAGCAGGAGGAATTTGGGAGGAAATATTTTTCGCAGGGCTCCATAAATTATTAGTACAAAGTCTTTGAATACATCCTTGAAAGCTTTAGAAGTTTGAAACCAAGGAATGCAACAGACAAAGTGAAGGCAACAGCATGTGGCCCTGCAGTAGAGGCTTGAAGAGAGACCTTGGGACTTGACTTTCCTTTCCCTCCCCTCCCCTTCTTCCCTTCCTTTCCTCCTTCCTTCCTTCCTTTCTTTCTCTCTCTCTTTCTCTTTCCTTCCTTTTCTTGTTCTTCTTGTTGTTCTTCTCTCTCTCTCTCTCTCTCTCTCTCTCTCTCTCTCTCTCTCTCTCTCTCCCCCCCCCTCCTTCTCTCTTTTTCTTTCTTGAGGTGGAGTCTCAAGGTGGTCTTAAACTCTTGGTTTCAAGCCGTTCTCCCACCTTGGACTCCCAAAGCTGCTGTGATTATAAGAATGAGCCACTATGCCCACCTGACCTGATGTTACACTATAGATTTTTCTATAGTGTTCCACAGTCAAAAAGAATAGCTCTTACCTACCACAAGAAGTGCTTCACAGTCAAAGAGAGCAGTTCTTACTTACCACAAGAACCACTGATAAAGTAAAACCTACCAATATATAACGTAGAGCTGCTCAGCAGAGAAGTAAACAGAAACCTGTCCCCTTGG